TTAATTAACAAAAAGAAAATGCGCGTGGAGATTCAGCACATGAAATTTTAATTATCCGTACAACAAATTCATAAAGTAATTACATTAAATTACAAAATATAATTATTTCATTTGCTCCATTTTATTCTGTGAGATTTATATAATGTGTGTTCGTTCGTCTAGAAATCTGCATTTGCTGCATCTGCTTTGCAAAAAAAGTTCAAAATGTTTCAATTAATGAAAAATAATATCTAATTATAAATACAAACTAAAGCTTGAAAAGTTTTGTTATAGTTTTGATCTTAGTTTTGTACATTATATTATTATTACAGGTATTTTTTGATATTGTTTTTATTATGTAAATACTTTTAACTATTTCAAGAAATATTATTATGATTTATTTTTCTACTTATAGAATACATCTGCAATAAATCCAGATGTTTTTAATCATATTACACTTTGTTATCTGTGCATTTTCCACTGCGAATAAATAAGGCTGTCATTTATGAATGTGCTAAGGTTTTTACGTAATGATCAATGCATGTATGCACAACAGAATGTTTAGCGCATAAGATCGGAATTAAACATTATTGATTGTTGCAGATTATCGTTGCGACACTGGTCGGAATGCGCCCGGCTTTCCTTGCGAACACCTTTATAATTCCTCTCCTGCAATTCCACATACAAAATCAAGAACAGCAACGCGTTAAGATATTTATATAATTATATTTATAAAATGCATTATTCAAATAAAAAGACCAGGAATGTGGAAAATCGGTATTGATACAAATAGTTCAACTTTCAAAGCTAATTAAAAGCGAATCAAATAACTTAGCACTTCGTATTTTCCAGATTTAAGTACAAATTTTACTTTCAAAAATATTTCATGTTCTACACTCGTTAAGATATTAAGGGTATACTATTTTAATAACAAAATTAGTTGATACATTCATTTTTTTCTTGCATATATATTGCAAACGTTGTCATTGTTTCGTGTGAAACGTAAGAGAAGAAAAAATGTGGTTCGAGAATGTAATAAATGTAATTAGCGCGACCGGCGTGGCCCTGATAAAGCATAATAAGTCTGCAGCTCGGGCTATTATAACGAGACCATAAAGGCCGTATGCAAGAGTAATGTTCATGATTCGAGCGCTCGTGTAAAATCGGGGTAAAAGAAATTATGAACCGCAAAAGCGTGTTATTATCAGAGGTTTCGCATCTGATCTTCAAAGTCCTTGACATATTTAATAAAATTCCAAGAATTCAAAATAGTTTCAGCAATTTATTTTATTATTATATAATATCATCTAATTTTTAATATTTTTATGAAAAAAAAAATACATTTTTAACAAAACTGAATCATAATATAATTACATTTAAAGAGTTTGAAAAACAGATCCAAAATTTCTTTTACTAATATTAAAATTTTAATACTTATAAAAATATTTTTTTTACAAACTCTTTTTTTGATATTGATATATAACTTTGTCAACAATTTTAAAAAGCACATTTTATATGTTCATATGCTATGATACTAATGTATGAAATTTGTCTTATACTATCTATAATAACTATAATATTAACATTAACGCCTATCAAAATTTCATTACAATCTGACTTTTAGTTCACAAGTTACAGTGTTTTTAGTGACGCTACTTTTATAATATTCAAAACAATGGAAATATCTGAATTTTGTGTATTGATAAAACTCTGCTTTTTCATAAGTAAAATACCGTTCAAGCAAGTGTTATGGGGACACTTCTCCATCGAGACAAATGATATAGAAGTGGTTTGCTGATTTTAAACGCGGTCGTACAGACAGAAATGATGTTGAACGCAATTGTTACAGAAAACTTAAACAAAGTCCACAAAATGGTTTTGGCCGATCGTAAATTGAAGTTACGTGAGATAGTTAACATTCTGAAGATATCAGAAGGCAGTGTATTCACCATTTTGCATGAACATTTGATCATGAGAAAGCTTTGTTCGAAATTAGTTCCGCGTTCAAGCTCAAAGTGGACCAAAAACAACAACGAATTGATGATTGAATTTAAGCAAAATAAGAGGATTTTTTTCATGCGGTATGTAATAATGGATGAAACCTGGATTCACTACTAAATCGGTTGTCAATTGAGTGTCAAAGGGTGCAAGCCGTCCAAATCAGCCACAAACGCAATTGCACTTTGAATTGCTTCCCCATCCACCATATTCTCCAGATCTGGCTCCCAGCGACAACTACCTGTTTGCAGACCTAAAAATAATTCTCAAGAGATTTAGTTCCAATGAGTTTCTACAAGAAAGGTATCGAAATGTTAAAGAAACGTTGGAAGTTATGTATCACTCTTGACTATGTTGATGAATAATGTCGAATATTGCCCAAAAGTTGTTGTTTTATTAGTCATCCTACAAACTTATTTAGTCAAGTGTTGTAATGAATTTTTTAATAATAGAATATCTCAAGAAATAAGGATTAACCTGTTAAGTTTGAAGAACAATTACTATAAATTATTATCTTCATAATTCTATTTGGTTTATTTTAAGAAACGAACACATTTTGTTTTATTGTACTTATATTTTATGTCAATGTGAAATAAATGGAAATTTATTTGAAACAAATATGAGTTCTTCTAGAAATAAGAAAACAAATTAAAAAATAATAAAATCTGGTTGAAACATATATTGAAAAAAATATAGTTGCCCATAGTTCAAACAAAACAAAGTGTTAATTATTGTCCATTCACTGATGGCGTGAGACCAACAGGGTTGTTTTGTAGAAGCATTCCTTTATATGTTTCCATTTTGGTCCGAAGTTAAGGGAAAATAGATTTTCTTAGACGCCGTAATTTACGAGCCCAGCAACGCCCTTCGGCATTCCGGCATTATTCACTGCTAAGACATAATTACACACCAGATTCAATCTCGGAGCTTAGCCTCCAATATATCATATTAGCAAATTAATGTTTGTACTTGGAATGCACCATTAATAAGCTAATAGCTTCAGTCATAATGAAAAAAATATACACAGAGCCACGGCGGCCTTCGAAAGCGTTTCCCACTTTCTCGCTAAACGATAATAAAAAAACAGAAAATTGTTATGCGTAAAATGAATCAAACATCGTTAAATTTGCATTGTGTTGACTCTGATATGTCTGTGAGGATTCTTATGCTTTGGAAATTTAATATATTTTTGGACACGAAGGATTTAATCAAATTTATTGTGAGGATTGTAATGTTTAAACAGCAGTTTATAATTATTTTGATTACAATACAACCATTCTTTAGATGAGTAATAATTGTGTTCATTTGTTATATCAATTATCTTAATAATAGAAACTATCTCATTTACATGTACAATTATAAGAGATGATTAATGCACATGCATAAGTAATAACTACATTTGCATCAATCGTACTTGATTTAAATTTAAATAAATATTCAAAAGTGTGGAGTTTAATAAATTTATATTTATTTAATATATTCTAATACTTTTTTCCTTCAAAGAATTGAATGCAAATATCCTACTAGTATATTTGCTTGTTTTTATGTGTTAAGAAATCGTGATAATATTTAGCATTGATTTTTAAAATAATAAAATAGCCGACGATTATGTTTCTTCATATGTATGTTAACTTCACATGGGTTATCTTGATAAATTACTGTTAGGTGATTTCGATTGAAAAAAGAAGTGCTAATTTATGAAATAATTTTATAGTCTATTTAGATAAACAGCATATAATTATTAGTAAGTAGCAAGTATAATGTTTGAAATTATTTTAAAATGCAGAAAATTAAAAAATGCAGAAATGCTGCATAGAAGTGTTTCTCAACCTTTTAGCCGTGTTACCCAACATATTTGTTTGTGGTTGTACTGCTACAAGAGAGTTCACTTTGAAACCAGTTGAAAGCTGTCATTTCGCGACCCATTACAATTTTTTTGAAAAGATAGATATGTGTCACCATATCACAAAAACAGTATCAAATAATAGTCATGAGAGTAATGCAAATATATTAGTTAAAAATCGGTGGCAATCGAAATCCCGACAACCATAATCCCGGCTGTATCAAAATTCCGACAGTATCAAAATCTAGATTGTATCAAAATCCCGACAATATCAAAATCGGTTGTCGGGATTGGGATTTTGATAGACCCGTGAAAAATATATCAACAGCTCAAATACATAAATATTTGAGATGTATCATGGATTATCAATTATTTGTCTTAATCATTGTCTGAAACATTATGTATAATTACTGAGAATCAAAAACAATTACTAGGTTCTTCCCAATAATTATATTCATAGGTTTAAATAGATTTTAGAATGTATTTACACATTAAATGCATTTTTCGAATATTTTGTACCTGGCCCATATATTTTAACAAATTTGAAGAACAGAAAGACTACATTGCGCATACCAATTAACTAAACATTAAAACTGAATGTGTCTTAGATGATTTGAATAGAGTAACAAATTATGGATTTGAATGTTATTCATTTTAGTTATGACTCGCAGTCGCATCTGTTATATAGTCTTCAGAAAGTTTTATTTATGAGCTTAAATTTGTTTATATACCGAGAACCATCTGTTACAAGTTATAACATTTTTGCTCTGCTTTTTTGCAAAATTAAATTTCTTTTTTTTTAAATAATTGAAGCTATTCAAGATTGTTGACCTATATTAAAACATTTAAGTACGAAATAATTTTGATATTATTAAATCGTTATTTGATACATTTTGCATATGTGGAAGTTTCATTTCTTTTTATTCTTAAAATTATGTTTATTACAACAATACGTTAGTGAACAATATATGATGTAAAAAAGAAGGAAATTAAGAAGTTTTTATTTTAAACAATATAAATATTGAGTCTTCTTAAATAAATGTAGAATACTTCATATCTTTTTGCAAGTAAATGGAAATTATATTTCTACCTGAATAAGTCTACCAAAAGCTAACGCAAATAGGTTATTTGTTTTGAATTAGAAAAGGGTTTTATATAAATAAATATGTACAAACAAATATAAAGATACTGTAGTGATTTATTTCTAAAGACATTCAATGAATAACCGGTGACAGCTGGGGTCCGGCACGAACGTGACGAACGGTTCGCTTCCGGTGCGCATCGCCAATTTGACTTTAGCGCTTCCGGCCATCCGGTGTATCCAAAAGAAATTGAACCGATCGATCAGCGGTCTGCTAGCTGTCCCATCGATCGAGCTCGTATTCGTATGCAGGTAGGAAGCGCTGCTTCCGGTGAATCCAAGAGTACCACAGATGCCCTCCAGTTCGCTGGTGGTCAAGTGTTCCGGAAAACATCCGGGATGCCAAACACCGCGAGTTCGCGTCAGAACCTCTCCGGCATTTGAACTGTGGTATAGAAAAATAAAAGCATTAATAGGAGTTCCTACTCGGATCTTTTGTACGATCATACTTGTCTTTGAGCGGTTGCAGCGACACGCACTGATGTTCATCTTCGCCGTCGGGACAATCCTTGTATCCGTCGCACACCATGTCATTAGATATACAATACGGTGTCCTGGAATCATTTCATAGAAGTTATTATCTCTCATTATCTTGACAGCATCGCGCCAGTAACGATAAACAAATTATAACTGTGATCTCCATGCACTATTAGCGTGCAACGAATCATTCCGTCTTGATTTTCTTTTTAATTAGTTTAAGCAACGGGTACGGAATCGATCCTTCCTCCGGCCTAATTGATCCTCGTTAGAGCCGCCATCTACCGGAACCGATCGCAATAGTTACGTGCGAGTTTTATTTCACCGATGGCCATAACTGCTTATTGTAAAGTTCCGCAATTTGAGGGTGCGAAAATTATCGTAAACACAATGAAGAAACGACATTTAGCGCATCAATTAGCCGATTATAAGCGGAGTTTGTGTTCTGAACAATGGGTCATTTGTCATCCTCGTGAAGGCGATTGTGCTCATAAACTAAGTTCCCGATCTATATAAACCTTTCATTAAGTTCGAAGCTTTATATAGCCTCGAGATAAAGTTGTATTGCTTTTGTCTTCAATTAATTGCAAGTTTACAACTAAATTTACAAAAACAGTACTAAATAAGTATTTTAAAACAATCAGGAATCATTATAATTGATAAATTTTTTGAGCGAATAACTAATGTTATTGAAATTTTAATCTAAGAAACATTTTCATTTAAAAAATATAATTATACTTTCCATCATTAAAAAAAGTATATAATTTGCTTGAGAAATCAAAGATTTTTTATAATTTGCTGAGATATTTAGTATACAATGAAACGAAATTTTAGAAGATTATGTTGAAAAATGATAACAACTAATGATTTCACTTTGTATGCAAGTTTATTTAATTTTCTTTGTTCGATCAAGCTTTTTATTTTCTTTGGAAGGAACGTAGTATTTTACCTATGAGATATGACTGTAAGTGTATTGAAATGTTTCGACTGAATGGTACGTATTCAACAAGAGAATATACGAGGGAGTACAAAAAAAAACATTGAGAGAAATACCAATAAATACCTGAATAGGCACAAACATCCTAGCTATATACTTTCTCGACAATAACTTTTCGCATCGCATCGTCACTAAGATCTTCATAATTGAAGAAAAATATTATTTGTATATATTCTTAATATCATTGGATAGTTGAAAATGATTACATACTTAATATTATTTTGTCTACCGTTATTATTTATATTATTCTGATAAAAATAGCTTTAAAAAATAATTTAAATGATTTATTATTAAAAATAAAAGTAATTATTATTATGTTACTGTAATATTAATAAATGTATTTGCTCGAACCATTTATTTATAAATGACCATCAACTGCAAAGTTATTCATGTATACAATTGTGTAAATTCATATGATGTTAAGCTTGTTACTTTGGCAAATCATCATCGTTATACATGAGTGCCATTCAACTGTATTCAAAGTTATCAAAGAGTATCGGTCTGATCGCCTCAAGTTGTTGTAAACAGTATTTTTTGAAATTGAATAATTAAAAATATTTATTGAAACAATTATACAATATTATAAATAATTAAAGACACAAACATGTATAATTAAAACATGAATTATGTTGTAATTGAATAATATAAGAAGATATAAAACTAATTTATCATTTAAAATGTATACAATGATTCATATTTATTAACTTTATATTGTGTAAAATGATTTATAGTATTGTATTATTGTAATAACTGCGGAAATATCTAGACTGCTTCTAAATTAATCTAGGCTTAATTCATGATAATGTACTTATTGAGGTGTATACAAGAGTTAATGTTTCTAAAATATAAAAAAATCTTCAAGAAGATACTCACAAACCACATTTAAATTGTCCTGCAGTACATCTACAGATTTCTTTATCTTCATCGCTCCTATCCAGACAGTTCCTTGCTCCATCGCAGATTTTAGAAGGATCTGCCAAACGTAGGTAAGCCTGACAGGTACATCTGTCAGGTTCATCGGAACCATCGCCGCAGTCATCCTTCTGGTCGCAGAATACAGATTTCTGTACGCACTTTCCATTGGCGCAACGCATCTCACCCAAGTTGCAAACTAGAAGCACCAGTTCCTCCATTCACACACTGAGGCGCTACAGAAAACTAGAACCTATACTCACGACAAGTGTCCGTAAGATGGCACTGCCTGGCCGTATCCTCGCAAACTTCCGCTGTTTCGTCTTCGGCATCCCGACAATCAGGAATCCTGTTACACAGCTTATCCGGTCCGATGCACTTGCCCAATTTGCATCTGAAACCGGTGCAGGACGGGGGCTCGACTGCGAAGGTGGCACGTTCTGGTAATTTCAACAAAACAAACGAGACAGAATAAAATGAAAAATTGCCCGAAGCCCGGATAGTTTGCTTTTTTAGATTTACTTAGATACTGGTGTATTAACCGTTTGATGTTGGATAAACTTGGGAAGGAGGTTGTTTTCGTGAAGCCGCAATCTCCGCGCACTTCTTCGAAGACCGCCGCTGGGTAGAATCCGTGGCCCGAGTCGCACACTATGCATCCGCTCCAGGGATTTTTGTAATTGTCCACCTTCAATGATATGATCACATTTCATATTTTCTTTCATGACATGCCGCGACTAACAATGTATTCGTTACATTTTCACAGAAGCTATTCCGTTTATCATTCTATTGAAAGCAGTCAAACGTGATACAAGATTTAGTTTGATCAAGAAGATACTCCAGTGTTCGCAATTAATATTATTGATATATGACGTTCTGCATCGTAAACAACGTATCTTTTCTGATTGATCATCGACTGTGTATATTGAGATTTGTTGCTTTTAAAATACCTGCATTTTTTCCTAACAACATTTAAAAATTTATAATTATAAATTCAAAATTAGTTACTTTATAAATACTTATAAGAACCTATTCATTATACTGTATTTATTAATATTGTGAATATATTAAAGACATTCGTGTAAACATGAATGTAAGTAGTTCAAAGAATAATCATTGAATCTTAAAGTTTTTACCAAGTAATATATACAGTGGAACCTGTATAATTGTAAGAAAAATGACTCGTAAAATTGAACGCTTACTACACGAGTAAAAATTTGGAAATTTTGTTACGGATTATGCTCGTTAAGTGAGATTCCACTGTAATTATATAGAAAGCCCCGTGTTTACGTGATTTTTCGTTCCACGTAGATTTTTCTTACGCGAATAATATAGTCTGAAATAAAAAGTATGGTAAAAAGGTTGCCTACTTACTGTGCATTGAATTGATACCGTTGATAAGTTCGATTGGTTTTAAATAATGAATGTTTAAATATATGCATTATTATAAGCAAGTACAATAGGTTGTTTTTATAAAAGGTTCACGGAAAAAAATGGGCTACGTTAAATTTCATTAATTAATTTCATGTATAAAAAATACCACCTATATTATGTTCTAATTTACACGTAAAAAACTGGTACCACGTAAATTCAGGGACACCTGTATTTTATACTCGATTATTTCAAGTACATGAACTAAATATTCCTTGTATTTATATAATATCCAAAGAAACTTGTAACTAATATTTTTTTTATATTAGACATAATAGAATTTCAAAAGTAAACTGAATAATATGGATAAAATCTTGATCAATAGAAACCTTTTGTCCTTATGTGAAATAATGTATGTGAATAAATTGCTTTGTATATGTGAATTTGAAAATGTCTTGGGGTAAAGAGGTAATAAAGATTTGTAGTGGAATATAGCGTACTTTACATTCAGGCGGCGGAACGTCTAATCGCTTGAAGCATCTCGAACCAGTCGTACAATTTTGGACAGGCTTCAATAAAACAGCTTTGGCGGTCAGATTAAGATCGGAGCCCATCGCGACGCAGGTTTCCTTATACCGCACGAAATCGCTCCTAAAAAAGGGGGATGGATAGATGAAGTGTAAGTGTAATATGCGAATGCCGATTTCAGTTTTTCGAGATTTCTGCGCTTACTTTCGTTGGAAGTGCAACGGTCGCACGTATCTGGTGAAGGTGAGTTTTTCACGGAGCTTCAGAAGAACTACATCGCTCTGGCCGACCCTAAGAGACTCGCCAACAGCGATGATCTGCTCGTGGGGTCCTCCGACGACGAAATGACCCCTGCCGGCACCCAGTAACACGGCTACGTAGTTCTGATCCAATCTGGAAATAACGATTTGTCAAGTAGAATAAAAGTAATACACTTAACGCAGAGACTCACTTGAGGATCCCAGGGAAACAATTAACAGATGTTAGTATCCAGTCGATGTCGAGGACTGCCCCAGTGCATTTGTAATCGCCGTTAGCATAAACTGCGGCGTTCCAGGGCGAATTGTGGATGTCGTTCGCAACGTTCAGTTGATCTTCCGTTCCAATTTCATTTGCGCTTATCGTCACATTAGAACACTTTACGTACAAACCCGTGCAGGAGGTGGTGCTGTTGGCGGTAGCTTCCGTTTCCGGGCGTTCGCCTGCTCCGGCAATTGGCAAGGGTCCATCGGCCACGACCATCTGCAAGTACTTGTCGTAATCGGCGAAGCCCAACGTTACGCAAACGTCCGCCGCTATTCTTCCCTCGATGCCCGTGAAATTACCGCACACCGGGGTCCAATTTCCAACGCGATTAAAGGCCAGAACACCTTTTATGTTCAGCTCGGGTCGGAGGTCAGCGTCCAGCACCATCCTATGTTTATCGCTCAGGGCAACTACAGACAAAACGTAGAATTATAGCTGTGCACCTCTCAAATCAGGGCCTCACGCAATTACGGGGCTCCAGAACAGAAATTGCCATGTATTTACCAAAATGAATGCATTCCGAACAACGGTGTACTAATACCCAGGACTACCAACGATTACCAATATTAGTAACACTAACATAAAACTAGATATTAGACAATAAAGACGGTATTTGGATTTATAATATATTATAGAAATGGCTATACCTCTTGAAGCAACGTGACTACAATTATTCATGTTACTTTCTGTTTTCTCCTGATCATGAAGATCAATTTTAACATTGGTTCAAGTTTTCTTAAAGTAAAGTTTTAAATAAATTTTCTGTTTTTTGAATGAATTTTGATTACGTTTTAATGTAACAATATATATATATAATTTCTTGCAACTTTTTTTAATATCTTTAATAATTATTTTTCTTTATCTTTATTAAAAAAATAATCAATGAAATCTCCTTTGATAAAGAAATACAATATCTTGAATTAAATAATGTTAGTAGTATTTCAATTTCATGTCGAATTTTTACTAAAAGCTTTCAGCTTTCACAAATATAATAATATAATAATTTCTAAATATACTTATCGTAACTTGAAAGTTCATAAAAAAGATATACTTACAACAATCCCATTCGTCTTCATTTTGCGGACAATCGACAGTGTTGTCGCACCTCTTCTCGAGCGGTATGCAAATCCTGCTGAGCCGGCAGTAAAACTCTCCATCTGACGCGCAGTTCCCTGAAACAGTTCATTTTCATCGCGAATTGATTAAGTGTAAAGCCTCTCTTTATTAGCGTTAATTCACGCCGACTTATACTCGCGGCCGCCGCATGTTTCGCGCGGAATTCGAATTTTATGGATTCGCGCGCTCGCGGCGAACCAGAAACACAGCTCGTCGAAACTAATTAAAATTTACTTTGCATTCTTTGAAATGGAAACCGAGCCGCTTTCCAGAAAAAGCAACTATAAATAAAAAAGTGAAAATGAAACCACAAAGTTTTATGTACTTTTTTCACGAATATGTGACGAGTTACTGCTATATTATATACAATGTTCCAATCAAATTGTAATTATTAATGGATTGGATTATGAGAATATATAATTTTATAATAATTGCTTATTTCAGTTCTGTAATATGCGTCCCATGTATAATTTGCTGATGGTTTTAATGAGCTAATTATTTCCAGCAGTTATAAATTAAATGTTTTACTACCAAACTGAATTATTTCTAAAGTAAGAATCAAAATATCCTTTAATATAAATAAATAACCTTTAATTTAAACTTAAAGTTGTCTAGATTGGTCTTATTGATTCTATTAGACAGGTACAGTTAGAACAGTGTCTGCCAAATCATTATCAGGATCAGAAAATTTAGTCCTTTTAATTTTGTTGGAATTTTTATTTGGTGTGTCGCGAAACAATTTAATTCTCGCCCAGTATGTCGCGAGGTAAAAAAGATTTGCAGATGATAAGTTAGAGTAGTAGAACTAGAAGGCATTTTCAATCACAAATTAAATTCAAATTAGATTACTACACGATTTTGTATTTTATCCAAATTGTTAAATTAATTGTTTCTTAATTATAAAATTTTCAAGGTATAATAAGTAAAATGTGTTCCCTTCATTTTAATTTATTTTGTGGTCGTTCCAATTTTATATTATCCGAACTTTGGAAATATATTTTTATATTCGATATTTTGGAATGGAAATAGTGTACGCGATTTTACTTTTAGCTTAATGAAAGATGAAGTTGACTAACCGCAATTGCTTTCATCGGATAGGTCTTTGCAATCGGTAACTCCATCGCAGATGGCCTCGGGATGGGTATTTTTCAAGTAATCCGAGCAAGTGCAGAACTCCTCATCGGTGCCGTCCTGGCAATCGATTACTTTATCGCACTTCTTCGCCAGCGGTATGATCTCGAGCATCCTGTAGAAGAGACAGAGAGAGAAAAGAGCGGACAGTCAGCAGTCAGTAGTAGTATATAGATCATAGATCTACGATGATCAGCAGAAGCTAACCTGGTGCACAAGAAGCGACCATCCTGCAAAGGATCGCGGACCGCTTTCACGGAAGATTCATCTAGCCGCTGCAGCGAAGCAGTAGTGTTACTTATGAACTCGTTCCGATCAGATAGGCCGGCCGGACTTGCAAATGAGGTGTCATCCTTTACAGAAGCCAAGCCATTCACCGGATCCGTTATTGGTGTGTTTTCCATTTGGAACGCCGTCGGGGCGATGCTATCTCCGATCGGAGAAGTCACTTCCACGCTGGCGTTTTCTCCGTTAGATCTAGATAGGTCGTCCAGCATCATGTGTCGCACGGCGTGCTTGAACAGCGACGAAATAGAATTACGCTTGGCGCAGTCCACCTCATCATCACCATACAAACAGTCCACGATCTTATCGCATCGTCTCTTCTTTGGTATGCACTTGTTTATCCTTTTGCAAACATAGCCGGGACAATGGTACAATGGTTTTCTTTGCGGCAACATATCGTCCTCTGAAATTTAGCGAATTACAACAATAACACCATACAAATCGCTCGATGGATTTTACTAGCGTGCTCGTATATCCAATTCCTGTACAGTGCAATTCTGGTGTATACTCCAGGTTCGTTTGGTCTGGCGCATCCTTCACCATGTGATACCACTCCTGCTAGGTACCATTGGTTCGGAATGTTCGGGTTCCTGCAGAGGAAAGGACCACCACTGTCTCCCTGGCAAGCGTCCCGACCTCCTTCAAGCAACCCGGCGCATATTTCGTGACCATCTTCGTCTTCTTTATGCTTGCAGATAGGCAGAACAGGAACTTCAACTTCCCTCATATGATCAGCTGCAATATAGTTAGTTAGTTAGTACTAAATATACCTTAATACAAAAAAACATCACTTTTAATTGTATGAAATGGCAACCTTCAGATATATTAATGAATGATCAATTAAGATTTTTTTGAAAATTTGAAATTTAAAACAAAGACTATTTTGAATTATATTCAACTAAGATATATATCTAAGGTATGAAAGGAAAAGTTTAATGTTCATAATAACGAGGAAAATCAAACGCCTAGTATAGTACCAATTAGTCAGATGACAAAATACGATATTGAGACCAAAAAGAAATATCTAATGGAGTGGGATCGATAAGAAATATTTGGTCGCAAAAATAGAACCGTAATCATTAAAGGCAAATATATTCATGAATTTCGTATTACTGAAAGCACTGTCTTCCAATTATATCTGATTCGGCTACATTACATATGCGTAATCACAAGGATGTCATTTATAAAAATCAGACAAAGTCATCGAAATACTTTAGACATTCAAATAAAAGGTTATAAGGAATCGATGGAGCTACATATTCAAAACTGACATAGAAATACAGTGATACCTATTGGGTTGGGAACATAATTCATTCCAGAAACGCTAATTAAAACCAGGATTATTAAATCGCGTCTAAGAACAATTGTTACTGGAAGAGAATTTTTCCAATCTTTAATACTAAACAAACAGTAAATTATTTACCGATTCAAACGAAACAGCGTTAAATGAATTAAAATATAGTAAATAAAATAATTGAGTACACCGCGTTAATCAAGAAAGCGCTAAATGAGGTCTTATTGTATATACATTATCATTAATAATATTTACGATCAATTCCATGTTCAACGGTGGCACCCCATCCAACGGCGGTGCAAATCGTTCCAGGAATAGGTCCTTTGTCGTAGTTCTGCCCCGCCGTGAATTCTGTTGGTAAACATATTGGCCTCACGTAGCGATTGAACTTAACCGGTGCATTAAGCCTCATCAACGCCAAGTCATTCTTCAGATTGGCCCTGTCGTAGTCGGCGTGCGGGATAACGTGCGAGGCAAATCTTGTTTGCTGCATCGGGGAGTACGAGAAACGTCTCAGCATTCCCAGCTCGATCTCGTAATAGTACTGCCAATACCTGAAGAAGAATAAGAATAACAACAACAACATGAACATCGTGTCAATTGAAGTCGCCAGAAGGCAGCGACAACTATCCTCTTACTTCTCCACACAATGGGAGGCCGTTATTAACCACGTGTCGCTGATGAGAACACCTCCGCAGTGGAAGGCGCCGTTCTTGTAAATGGAGACGACCCATGGCCAGGCAGCCGGCTGACATGCTCTTCCTCCGACTACCCTCCCATCTCCCACGATGGTTTCGCTCTCGTTCAGAGCCCTTGCAGGCCGGAAACGAGCTGCTATTTCCTCGGCGCTCGTGTCCACCTCCTCCTGCCTATAAGGATTCATTGTTACACTTCGCATTCCACAAGTTGGCTGCGGGCATTCCACGTAAACGGCCCTGTCCGCCACGCAGCTCGCAACAATATCAATTTGCTCCTCCGGCAGTGCATTTGCATAAGAACCTTTGTACTCGTAATTGATTGGGATCATGTGCGTTAGCGGCGGTCTGAAAAACGAACGACGAAAACACGAACGTCAGGTGAAACTGGTGGATAAATATACTGGGATATATCTTACAGCGTGTTGGGACCGGCCGAATTCCTGCAAACTTGAACAGCCCACGTTTCCGAATTCGAGCAGGCCGGATACCATCTTCCCTTGAAGTTCTTATGCAAGAAACCAGCTGTCGTGGAAACTTTAAAAATATCTTCGGAACTCTCAACCTCGTTGAGCAGCACGATACAATCTTGCTCGTCCTTTCCGGTTGGACAATTCGCAAAACCATCGCATCTTTGACTCAAAGGAATACAAGTTGCAGGACGATGTTGCGTCCAATCGTCGCAACTAAATGAATCTGGAGTACATCCTAAATATGATAAATATATTTAGTATACTTGTCAGTGATACTAGACCACATTTTCCAACATCAAGATACTTAATTCATTTAAAATTTACTAATAATCATATTCATCTAATATGTAACATATTAAATATTACATGAAAACACATAAAAAAATTGAAGAAAGTTATTTGAGAAAAACTACATCATTTAAATTACAATTGGATGGTAATTGGTATTATTGAAGATTTATAAATGGATTTTCATTTAATTCATCAAACTATATATTTGTAAGCTTGTTTTAAGTAATTATGATAAACAAAATTTATTGTAAAATAATATACAAAGAACTATTGACCGACCGTTCTGACTCAGCATTCTGAAAGAGCTAAAGCTTAAGCAGTGTATGCAACTCAAACTATCTAAAAATGTAACTTGTTCTGTATATATAATAAAACATTTAAAAGGCCGCCCGTTCTGAACTATTCTATAAAATAGAATGGATTGCTGATTTCTCTTAAATATCAACAAAAAACATATAGTTTGTGAAAGTATGATAATAATATGAATAAATTACCAAAGCAGCCAATTTCATCTTCCCCATTTGGACAATCCAAATATCCATCACACAGTCTGAAAGGAGCTATCCTGGATTTACAGTTGCAATAGACTTCATCACTTCCGTCGGGGCAGTGGACTTCTCCATCGCATATCTTTTCAATTTTGATGCATTTAGAGTTGTCAGCGCACATCTCCTGTCCAAAAGCGCAATTATCCGAAGCTCTAGTACCTCTAATGAAAACATACAATATAGCACATAAATGCTGTAGTAAGAAAACTTACTTATTTATTGAAGTTAATATCTGGAAATCAGCATTTCTCACTTCAACTCCGGGCATTCCGGCAACATGATTAGTTTGTTGTTGAATAGGATTACAAACGAAATATTGGCCACCTGGGCCGGATGTTGAAATACCTGTGTTTGCACCCATCATGTTACCATTAGTGAGAATGGCGCTATAAGTTGGAGACATGTAACTGTATTGTGGATTAATGACGTACGGATTTGGTTGGTTTCGAGATAGAGAAATCGGAATCAATTGAGCGTATTTAGGGTCATAGGAGAACGGAACTTGCTGCTGCATGATTGGCAAGGAAGAACCCAAAGGCGGTGAATACGACGGAACGCATTGCCTTTGATTAGCAAAGTTAAGATTGGCGGAATTCTGTTGATTAATCTGATCATCTCCTCCTGGTGAAAACTGACCCATCTTATTATCAGCGCTGATTCTCAGTGTTGAATCCATGAACGACGTATTTTGCTTTTCTTTAAGTAATTTTGGATTGATGGCTGCTACAATATCCGACGAGTTTTGTGAATTCAATGATTGATTGACGTTGGTTTGTTTTGTATTAATTTTAGGTGATACCCTCTCTGAAAGGTCAAATTGAAAATGGGATGAGAGATTTGTGTCATCCCCAGATTCAACTTTTTGTTTTACTCCTTCAGAGAGGTCCTGCTGAAAAAACTGCGGGCCATTTCCTAAGTTTGGTTCAGTTTTTTCGGGTTTTTTGTTAGGAACGTTCTGGTTTAAATTCATCTTTGGTTTAATATTTTCTGAAATGTCTGTTTGAAAGTACGATGGAAAATGCGGACTAACTCCTAAATTCGGATTATAATCTCCATTCTTTAAAGGAAGATTAGGTTCTATCGGCATTTCGATGTCGCCATTTTTATTATGTGTCGTTTTAATCCGTTCGACGCTACCTGGAGGAAAGTATCCTATCATTTTTGGAGGAGCGCCCAAATTAGAGTCAGGTACAGGTTCATCTGGTATCTCTATTACTTGACCTTTATTCTCCTCTAATTTTGGATGTATCCTTTCTTCATTTGCAGGCGGAAAGAATCCCGGGAAGCTAGGATGTTCCATCCGCACATTTTCGTCATGTCTAAAAAGCTCCTGGTTTGGAGGATTTATGGTAAACTCTAATGGTTCTTGCGGTGGATCCATCCGACTTTGTCCATGAAATTGCATTGATTTGGAATGAGTGGGAGTGTGGAAATTGTGCGGCTCCTGTGGCGGAAATTCATTATGTTGCACTGTTTGTATAATCTGGCTTTGAACGAAGCTCGGATTTTTGTGAAAATTACTACCACCATGAAATTCAGGTCTGTTATGTTGAAAGTGGTTTGGAGGAAAATGATTTGCAGGTGGGAATTGGTGCAGGATTTGCTGAACCTGTCTTTTCTTCCTAGAATCAAGAAGCTTCATTTCATCTTCCTCTAACCTCTTTAAAAAGTCAACAGCTTGTCGTATTTGTGGATTTTCATTTGGAAAATTTTGATCAGGGAAAAAAGGAATAATTTTCTTGGAATTAATTGAAACGGATTCATCACTGAGAGATGATGCCTTAACATTGGATGGATTTGCAAAAAACGGTTCTATCCTATCAATATTCTCCTTGTTAACTCTTAATAATTTATTGTTCTCCTCGTGAATAATTTTTGGTATATTCAAATCATCGATAAACTTTAAGTTTTCATCTTCTAATCTTCTTAAAAAATCAATGGCATCGTGCACTTGGACATTAACATTACTTGTATCATCACGTTCATTGGGTTGTTCAACAACAATAGGAGAACTTTTTATAATCTCTTTATTTTCCACATTCTCAATTTCTTCAGTTTGACGCTTTTGGATTGGAGATGTTACATTGATCGAGGTGTTATACAATGACAGTTTAACATTGTCATCGTGAATGGTTGGTACCTTAAAATCGTCGATTGTGCTCTGAGCTTTAAGGATTGAACCGATGGACTTTTTATTTAGAAATTTGGGGAACATATCATCGTCGAACAGATCATAGTAGTAATCATCGTCTAGCAGCAAGACGTTCGTTTCTATGAATTTTGCTTCATGTTCTGCCACGGCCTGCAGAACTTGTGGAATTGAGCAGTCTTGAAGGATTATTTCATTTTTATTCTCCGTCAGATAAGAGCAACAATCCTCAAGACTCTCGGTTAATTTGCATCGTTGCAGTTTGTCGCGATAATAAGCCACTAACTGATTAAAGTTTTCAGTTTCGTAGCGAGCGCGCAGTTGATTACCTGAAAATTAATTATTTTATAATTTTATTTCTATTTAGGACCTATAATTTTATAATTAATGCTAATTAATGAAAATCAGCTAGAATTAGTATTATATATTAGATGCATAAATAATAAGTTTGCAGTCATTTTTACCGGACCGCTACTACATGATTTAGGTCCAAATTTACTTAATGTACTATTTACGTATTTTTTTATATTTATGTTTTAAATGTTAACAAGTCCGCGAAATATTTCTTATATTTTCATTGGATCGTAGACGAAAAAGTTGATGAGTGCTGGTCTAGGTAGTTTATACAAAAACTAGGTAATTTCTGTCGGGAAATTTTTATAATTACAAATTCAACAACAGCATAGCTCGTAACATATGCAATAATTACAATGCTAAATGTAGATTCATATTTTTTTATTAATTAAGTTCCGTATTTCCGCAAGTATAAGGTGCAACCTATCTTGACAAAAAAAATCTAAAAGCTGGTTGCTTCTTATATTGTGGTGGTATAAGTATATAATATCATTTAAATTAGGTTATGTTGGAATATGCTATATTTGTAAAAATATAATAGAATTTTTATTTTACAGTTTGCTCACTGAACTATTATACTCAAACTACACATATTGAAATATATAACAAAATAAAGAAAAAGGAGTTTATTAAAGTAATCGATTGCACGTCTACAATATAATTTGAATTTAACTCCAAAATTCGATTTTGAATTTAGAATAAACTGAAATTAAATAAATCTATATCTAAGTTACAAAATAATATCATTGATGTTTTCCTTACCTTTATTGGTGATCAACAAGAATAGGATGGTGGCAGCCAAGCCAATCGAGGCCAAAATAAAGAAAACTTTGAAGACCCTCTTTTTCATTGACTTGGGATCGTACTTTTTGAAATTAGAGTCTGTCGAAGAATCGTTAAATATTCTTCTATTTATTGTGTCGTTATGATTTACTTACCGGAGCATCCGCTGATCTGAGACAGCCGCCTGAGATCAACGTCGGTCATCCCTTCCGGCTCCTGGAACCTCTTCGGGCTCGGGGACTTCTCGCACGAAAACTTAACGGTTTTACCGTTGACCATTGGATTGGATGTGTGCGATTACCAACGGAAACGAAATAGAAATCGCGTGCGTTTCCCATTCGACGAGAAATGCCGAATCATCTGGAGCCGTCATTTAATGCCGCGGCATTATGTTTTCCCGCTGCGGTCAGCGCGAATTCGTCCGTAATGAGGCCGTAATCATATTGCACAGTTTTTTTTTTCATTTCCCAGTTCCTTTACATTTCCATTTCGCATTTGCCAAATCCCACGTGGAATCTGTGCAATGGGAATGAGTAATGATTGCGAAAATTCCCGTGACAAGTGTAATGCGCTTGTAATGTTTTCGAGGGAGGAACGCCACGTTCGATTTTCACAGTTGATTCCATTGTCTCTCTCCGTGTCTACGCAAAATCCGGACCCCCCTCGTCCCGTGCTTTTGGGGGGCGGTCGGCTTTTGATGTTCGCCTCGCATAATTTTCTATAACAAATCCGATGCATGGATTTGCGCGTCAACAATTTGTAAATGCGCATTTATTGTTTGCTTTGTAAGCGCGCTTTTCCGGACTTATGCGACCGATAAACCTTCTGCGATTTCATTTGTTTTTTTTTTGGCGTTTGTTGTTATTGTTGTTTGTGGATACAAATATATTTCCATTAGTTGAAATAAACCGATCGGCAATAAATAAATACGCAAACAAATAAACAAGCTGCATGGGAAGCTTTAAAGAGTGTTTTCCGGTTATGAATTTGTAATTCTCCATGGTTATATTTATTTTTTGTTTGTTTGTGATTTGGCAGATGGCGGTGGAGGGGTGCACGGGTCGCGTCTAGTATTAATTTTCAATATTTTATAGCCGGTCAAAAATGCATTTTAGCGGTGGTTGTGATTGACATTTTTCGATTAACTCTATATTTATGTCAGCGCGCGCTGAAAATCCGCAATTTATGGGATCGCGCGTGTGTTTGTGAGATCCGCGCTTCTACACATACATATACATACACACATGCAAAATTCAAAGAATATTTATTGGAATTTCATGCAAATTAATAAATAAAAGTCGGCGCGGTTCGAATCAATCAGCGGCCGTTCATCAATATATGTTTTACTTTAATTTAAACCAGTGGACTTCAAACTGTTCTCAGGATTTCGCGTTACTCCTCGTAAATGTGAAAGAAATTGTAATAAAAAAAAACGAAATGTTAATCAAAATAAAATATATATTTATTGCAACAATAAATTACAAAAATTGGAATAAAAATAAAGGTACAATTAAAAATGAAATTGTTTATCCATAAATGTGAATGAATAGAATACAAAAGTATAAAAATGATACGAAACATTCTAAAATAAATATAGAATTCAATTGAAAATTGTATTTTTCCAAGTCCATTTGTACATGGACTTAAAAATTTCAACTATTTTCAAAATTTTTGTCTATCGTAAAAAATATACGTATATATGTATATGTATAGTAATAAAATTATGAAATAGATAAGTAATAGATATCTAGAAGACAAAAATCCAAATATCTAATTATTTAAAAATTGTTTCGAAAATATTTGTGTTGATTTACAATATACATGGTCCATTAATTGTTGTACAAAATTAACTAATAATGAACTTTCAGCATTAAGTTGCATATAAATATATGAAATAATTAAGAAAGTAGTATTTTTTAACGGAAAGATCTATGACCTTGTAACAGTTAATATATATATTTTACTTTACTAGTATTTTGATAAGTAAAGTCAATCAATACCTATATTCTTTACTAATCAAAATAATTGAAATTTGAAAAATAAAAACTATTTACGAAACAATGCTTGTAATGAAACATAAATTTTATAACATTTATTTTTCTTCAAATTAGAAATTTAGTAAGCATATTATAAGATATGTAAACTGGATATTCCTTGCCTTCTATTTTCAGCATTGTTTCACAATTAATATATAAATATCAAATACTGTAACATTTTCACAAATTGAAGTAGTAATTTAACTGGACAATTTCTCTATGTTATCGATTGTGAATGCTACTGAATGGACACACTGAGTATTTCCCCATGGGCAACAAATTTTCATAAATGTGTACAAAATCATTTTATAAGGGGCAGGAAATGCATGTCTTGCCGGCGGCATAAATTTTAGCGCCGGTCCTGGTAGTAATTATGCAATTTAATCTCAATCCAAGGGGCGGTTTCTTTCTCTCTCTCGCTCTCTCTCATACACACGATGTATATATATACATTGCTGGTGAATAGCTGCGGCGTAACGTTGGAATCTTGCGGAATCTGTGAAGCCCCCCAGAGTTTGACCACTAACCGTTCCCCAGGCTTTACCGCCAACTATTCGAGCCCGCCGCTAACCGTTCCGGGATTGCCGCTGGATTAATTGCAGACCTTTGGGACCGTTTACTACGGCCGCGACAATAGACTAGGATATAAACTGGAGCAAGGAATTACGGCGTCCTGCCCGGTCGTCAACACCTATATAAAGGCTAATCCCCATAGTAATATAAAGCATCTGTCCTTTCCTCTGCCATCCAAACCACCACCCCTCAGATCCCTACGTTTCTTCCTTCCGACGGAGGAGACAAATAACTTCGGCTTTATTGTGGATGTTGGCAATGCGTCTTCCGCTTTATTTTACACCTCCCCCTACCCATTCACC